GTGGATCAAATGTCTGAGGTGATCAGATATATTAAAATTGAAAATAAAAAGGTAGAAATAAAAGAGGCTTTTAGGATTTTAGGATTTTTTCCATTGAAAGGAAAAAAGGCTCTGGACTTATTACTGAAATACTTAAACAATTAGAATCTGATGGGTTAGATATAATGATGTGCTGCTCCCAGGGATATGATAATGCTGCTACAATGGCTGGAATCCATGGAGGTGTACAGAAAATTATTTCTGATAAAAATAATAAGGCAATTTTTAATGGATGTATTGATCATTTCCTAAATTTATGTGGTCAGCATTCTTTTGCAGTAAATGCATCTTGCGTCACATTTTTCGAAACAATTGATGCAATTTATTCATTTTTTGCTGCTTCTACGTATAGGTGGGAAGTGTTAATAAAGCATACCAATATATCAGTGAAAAGACTGTCGACCACGCGTTGAAGTGCACATTATAACATTATAAAACCTCTTCAAGAGAATTTTGAAAAATTTATAGAAGCAATTGAAGCTGTTTGCAGTACCAATGAAAATTTAGATACAAGAGGAGCAGCTGAATCTCTTTTGCCGGCAGTGTGTCAATATACATTTTTATGCTTTTTGTATTTTTGGCACGATATACTGGAAGAAGTAAATAATACTCAAATTTATCTACAGTCAAAAGGTCTATCTCTTGATAAAGTTATAATAAAAATAGAAGCTCTTAGTCTTTTTTTAAACGAAGAAAGGCAAAATGTAGTTGACAAGCACTTAATAAAGCACTTTGTGTATCAAAAGAACACGATATTCCAGTTGAGAGAAGAATAAGATTGAGAAAGAAGATGGCGAGAGAATTGGTATGTGATACTATACTCACAATAGAAGAAGAAAATAAAAGAACTATGTATGAATGTATTGATTGTCTAAATGTTGAACTTCAAGCAAGATCAAAACCATTAAAAAATATTTTAGATATGTTTGAATGTGTCCAAGCTAAATTTTTAGTTTCTGAACATAATAATGAAGAAGACTTGACGTTATCTATTAAAAAATTAACTTTTGACTCAAGTGACATCTTAAAGCAGCAGGAATTAATTTGGAAGTAGTTAAAAATTGGACAGCTTTAGATATTTTGACTTTCACCACAGAATGGGACTTCACAGAAACGCTTCACAGAAGTTTGTGTGTCCGCTGCATCATGTGAAAGAAGCTTTTCAAAATTAAAACTGATAAAAAATTATTTACGATCAACTATGGGCCAATCAAGACTTTCTAATCTTGCAATATTATATATAGAGAGTGAGTTTGTCAAAAGCATTGACTTTGATAACGTAATTAATAAATTTGCAAGTTTAAAAGTAAGAAAAGGAACATTTTAAAGGTTAAGTGTTATGAAAATTTAGGATAATAATTATATAATGATTAAAAAATTGTTTAGTGTTTGAAAAATTTAGTTTAGTGATAAAAACATTTAGTTTAGTGATTAAAAAATTAATTTAGTGATTGAAAAATTTAGTTTAATGATTGAAAAATTTAGTTTTGTGATTAAAAATTAGTGTAGTGATTGCATAGTGAATAAAAACTATACATAGTTCAAACTTTTGTGCATATTATTTTAAAATTTTTATTTAGTTCATATAGATAGTAAATAATTAAGTACATCAATATGTTGTTATACATGAACACATCAGTGGCATAGATTCATTTATAGGACAGATCTGCGTATTTAACAAAGGGTAAGTGAGCGTTTAACTTATTTTTCACAGATAAGAAGTTAAAAAATCAGTAGGTTTGCTATTTTATTATTATACTTTACTATCAAATCAAATCCAGGTACTACTGTTTTTTCAAGCATATAAAAGAATAAAGCTGATTTTAGACGATTTTAGATGATAATAATTTATTATCATCTAGAACAGAGATAATAATTATTTGGCAACAATTTATTTTCAAATAATTATTTTATCTGTTATAGACGAGAATTATTTATAGAGAGTTATAGACACTAAATTATTATTGTCGAAAACAAGGTTTAAAATTACATGTGTCAACGTTTCTAAATACTGCTTTAATAATTTTGTATATAAAAATAATTACATATAATATATGGGTGACACCCTATTTGCTGCCTTGGGTGACATGATAACTAGGAATGCCACTGATGTTAATTACAAATTAAGTAGAAAATTTTTATGAGTATGAGTGACAGGGAGACATGGTCACACCATTAAAGTGTTGAGTTTGGCTACTGAAAATAGTTCTAGGTTAGAGCTTCAATACATACGTTTAGAAAGGTTTTAGGTTTGGGCAAGGGCATATTTGTAAGATAATGTCAAAAAAAGTTCCTTTTTATAAATTTTTTTTATCTTTTTTAAAAAACTTAAGTTTGATTCTAAAATTTGTCAAATTTACTCCAAAAGAGTTTTGGAGTAATTGGACCTGCTATTACTTAAAGTATATATTAATACAAAATACATATTAATATACATTGATACAAACATTTTTATAAATATAATTTTTTCCTTTTTTAGATCTTGGTTTAGATGGAGAGCACCAAAAAGAAAATGCATCACTTGCTGTTCAACTTTGTCGAATTTGGTTTCAGCAAAAACATTCATGTTAGATTTAATTAATTTTTAATGTCATTAGTTTATTATTTTCTTTTTAGAGCAATAAAATAGAAATTAATAATTTTCATATTTTTATTTATTGGAATGAATAAAAAAATTCTTGATGAATGAAAAAAATCATTCTTTTTATTTATTGGAATAAATAAAAAAATTATTATTTTTATGAAAGCAGTAAAAATATATTTAAAATTAGGACTAAAGAACAAAATATAAATTATAATTTAATAATAATACAAGATATAAATTTATAATTTGATGATTAAAATAATTTAAAAAAAAAAAAATTTATTTCCAACTTGCAGTTCATAATTGTAATTCATAACATAATCATACAATTTGTATTTAATAATGATTTAATATAATTTATGCATTTGTATATTACAAAATGCATATATATTGAATGTATTATGTAGAGATAATAATAGGTATACATTAGCCCAATTACATAGGAATAGCTGATAGTAGCTACGCTTAAAAAGAATTTGTTTATTTTTTAAATTGTTTTTATCCCTAAATGATAAATTATTAGAATTTATTACAATTACAAAAATATTTTGAATATTTTTTCATTATTTTCATCTCGAATGTTTTTATCATTAGTTCTAAACAAAAGCTGTCTATTGCCAGAAGAGAAAACTGCGCTGATGCCAAACGTATCAGTTGACAATGAAGGTTTAATGACACCATTTACGCTGCCTGATCTTTTCATTCAAGGTTATCTTTAAAGATTACAATTAAGTTAAAAAATTTTTTATTTATTTAAATATTTTTTATAATTAATTATTTAATAGTTTTTATAATTAGTTGTTTGAAAAGTAGTTTTTTGCATTTTTACATTTTTTTATTTGTTTTAACTTTTTCTTGTTACTTATATTTTTTATTTTGTTAGGTTTGGTAAAAGCAAGATGGCCAGGTCGCTGTCAAATTATTAAAAGGGATCAAATAAGTTTTTTTATTGATGGCGCTCATACCCTTGAAAGCATGAAGGTAAGAAAAGTTATTTTCAGAATAAATTGTTTTCTTTTTAATAAATATACAGTACTGGAAAAATTATTATGGATTTTTTAAAATAACACAATTTATGCAACAATTTTAGTTAATTTTATTATTTAAAGTATTATATTTCACATAAATTCTTTCTATTTTCACTATACATTCATTGTGTACCATATTTTTCATAAATGTCAACATTTTTTATCATTTTATAGATGGCAACACGATTTTTATGTGTTGTGTCATAATTATGCATATTATGCACATTTATGTTAGTTCGCTGCGTTCCGTCACGAGGGCTTGTCGTCGCTGAGAATTAAAGTTTTTATAACATTTTATTGAAGTTTTAAGTTTTTTTAATATTATCTAAACCAAAAAAGTTACTTAATTTTTTTTTATTTCATTTAGTTTTGTATATAAAGTCATGGGTAAAAATAGTGATTTAAGTCCTCGTAAAATTGGACAAATTAAAGTTTTACTAGAAGATTCTGAACTTAAACAAAAAGAAATCGCTAGGAAATTAAATATATCGACACAAATTGTTAGTCTGATTAAGAAAAAAATTGAGAGAGGGATTGATGTGGGCTCTCAACGACAAGGAAACTGTGGGAGGAAAAAAATAACCACACCAAGAACCGATAGAAAAATCCAAAATATGGCACTTAAGGATAGAAGAGCAACATGTTCGAAGATTTCCAGTATGTTAGGGGAAGAAGGAATCTCTGTGAGCAGAAAAACGGTAAACAATCGATTGTTAGAGTTCGGATTGAAAGCATATCGTCCAAGAAAAAAGCCACGCCTTACAGAAAATATGAAAAAAGCAAGATACGATTGGGCAAAGCAGCATGAATCTTGGACTTATGATGATTGGCAAAAGGTAAAAATGGTTTTTTTAATCTTAAATACATTTAGGAATGATAATCAGTTAAATTACTTTTGTCTTTATTAATTATTTTAGTTGTGATGGGGTCTTGTAACATTATAATAATACGTATTTAATAAACAATAATTTTCAAATTTTAACTTAGAGGTAAGGCACTCTCTCTCTACTTTCTCTAGCAGTTAATTTTGTTTCAGGTTGTGTTTTCTGATGAGTCGACTATCGCAATTTTGGATGATAGGGTCCAAACCGTACGTCGACGACCCGGGGAAGAATTTTTGCCAGAATGTTTGAAGAAGACTGTGAAATTTCCTCAAAAAATAATGGTATGGGGGGCATTTTCGGTCCATGGAACCAGTCGATTGTACATCGTGGATGGCACAATGAACCAGGACAAGTACATTAAGGTGCTAGAATCTCGACTAGTGCCACAAATTAGGGAATGGTATGGGTCAGACTTCTGGATTTTCCAGCAAGACTCTGCACCTTGCCACAAATCCAAAAAAGTTATGACTTGGTTCCAACAAAATGCTGTCCAGGTTCTTCCTTGGCCAGGAAACTCGCCCGACATGAATCCCATAGAGAATCTATGGGATATACTAAAAAATGAAATCCACCAAATACCCATAACAACAAAAAGCCAACTGATAGAAAGGTTAATACACGTGTGGTTTCACTCTACAAAAATTAAATTTTTGTGTAAAAGTTTGATTGAGAGCATGCCACATCGTGTAAAAGCTTTAATTCTTGCGAAAGGTGGCCAATCAAAGTATTAAAATGTATAAAAATGTGTAATACGTGTAAATAAATCATTTTTGGTTATGAACTAATGAACAAATTGTGTTTTAGTAATGCCTTAAGTCCGAAATAACGATGTATTTTAAAAATCCATAATAATTTTTCCAGTACTGTATTTTTAAATAATTCAATTTAATCACTCTTTGTTTTCACAATCATTGAATTGTTTATTAGTAGTTTTTCACTTTTCACATTTATCTATTATAAGAAATTTTTTTTTTTTTAAACATCTTCGCTTCCAACAAGGCTGCAAGCAGTCACTAATTAGAGTTGGAAGTTACTGGAAAAGAAAAGATGAAGATTGTAGAGCAAGATAACGGTTGACAGACGACTTAAAAGATTGCAAGTTATATGAATCAGGAAAGCAAGATGAAAGAATGGAATTCCAAAGAACTGATGTTTGAGGGAAAAAACTAGAGGAATAAGAGTTTTTGGAGCACTTAGGAACAATCACAGAAAAAGGATGAGGCTTAATTGAATGACGAGTAACACGAGAGTGAAATTTAGTAGATGGCACAAGAGACGCTAGCTCTTTAGAGCAGTGCCAATTATAGTATTTGTAGAAAAGAGAAAGAGAAGCAACATTATGGCGATGTGATAATGGTCGAAGGTTGGCTGCAAGAGCAGGTTTACAATGTGTTTTTGCACCTTGTTTAAAAGAGAAAGGGCATCATTAAAAGATCCGCCCCAGATATGGCAACAGTATTCCATACAAGGTTGGATTTGAGATTTTAGAGATAGAGAATAGAATCTATAGTAAGAAGGTGTCAAGCTCGATAAAGAGATGCAACTTTAGCAGATGCTAATTTTGCAACGGATTTGATATATGGTTTCCAAGAAAGATCGGAAGTAAGAGTTAATCCTAGAAGATGAAGGGTAGATATGCTTTTGCATTAGACAAAACCTTTTTACAATGGTTCCTAGCGGTAATAAACACACGTCTGTTTTCTGGAAAATTGTTTTGCTGATAGATATGGAAGAAATATTTTTGAATGGCAATTGCAGCAGCACAATGTGAGGACAACCATGAAGAAGAGTAAGGCTTGACCTAGAATTGTCGAGAGGGAATAAATGATTCCATGCCAGCCTGAATACACAAAGTTATGTAAGTTTGTCAACAGGAAGACGAAAGATTTCTACCATCATGAGGGCCATTATGAAGAAAATCACGGAAAGAGTCCCAGTCAGCTTTAAGGTAGTTGTAAGATGTACGATGATAGGGCGATTCTGATAATGAAGAAGAATGAGATAATAGTTTTAGAGAGATCAAACTGTGATCAGAGGCACCTAAAGGTAAATGTGGAGAAACTGAGCACTGACTAGGATCAGAAACAAGACATAAGTCGAGTAGAGAAGTTAAATGATTCTGGTTGTCTGGAAAGCGAGTTGGAAAGTTGACTGTTTGAGTTAGGGATTGAGAAAGGCAAAGGTGGAGAAAGGCAAAGGTGGACCGACAACAATAATATTAGCTAATGGATAAAGAGAGAGGGCTTGGTCAATATGATCAGAAATAACATCAATAAGAGTGCAGTCTTAAGATGAAGGAGAGCAATATCAGGCCTTAAGATGAATAAAAACTGCGCAATGCATAAGCACGACGTGATTTTTGACGTCATTAAATTCTTTTTATTTGCTTTTCATATTTATTGACATTAACTGCACCAATTTACTTAATTACCGCAAAACTACTTTAAATCATTAATGTAGAAATGTTATTATTTAAAAATGTTTTGGAATGTTTTGTTTTTTAAAATGTAAAAACATTTTTTATTTTCTCGACGTTTGACACGTTTTGTCTATACTAAACAAATAAAAAACATTATAACTAAACATTTAAAAAAGATTATAAAATATGCTAATATTTGATTTTTTTTTTTTCTCAAATATATAATTGAAAGTTTTTCAAATAATTATTTTTTCTTTTTAAAAAGTCAGCGAGTAATAAACTGGAAGTTTTAATATTGTACGATTAAAAACTGTGCAATAGCGAATATTTTTACTTGCGATTTTATATAATATTTTTTTATTTTTATTTATTTTCATAAAGTGGTTGATAAGCACGATCACTCGTATTACTAAAAAACTTTAACAAATGTTTTGAATAGATTTTTAATGTTTACAAGGAATTTTATTTTTAGTAAAATAAAATAAAATAAAATGTTAGAATAAAAATCTTATAGGTATAAAAGACATATTTCAGCGAAAAAATTATTCTTAAAAATTATTTGAAAAACTATTGACGTTCTATTTTTCAGCAGCTGATCTTGAGCACGCTTCGTTGAGTTTCGGTAACTTTTAACAAAAAAGCGATTGTTATTATTTAAGTAATTTTTTTTGAGTTACTTTTTACAAAAATTTTAATAACTGTACTTTTTTATTGAATCAAGTATAATACGTTTTAATATTAATCCTTTTATTTATTTATTTTTTATTTGCGCTTACCAATTTTTAAAATGTTTACTCGAAATTACTCTTAAATACTTTAAATACGTCTAACAGTAAACAAATATTTTTAAATCTATGGAATAATTTTAAAACCTAACAAACCCCCGTAAAATAATTATTTAATTTAAAAATCAAAAACTAAAAGAAAATACTTTTGTTCAATTTATTAACAACTTTGCTATTGCTGAATAATTTTATTAAAATGTTAGTTTAAAAAGATTTAAACTTTTTTTTTAATCTGAATTTTTTCTACTTGTAAATAATGAGCATATTTAATTTTTTTGTAAATCAAACTTTTGTATCAACTGCGTGCAGTACCCTCATTAGGAGATAATTGAATGAGTTGCTTAGTCATAAAAATAGCTATAACAAAAAACCACCTTATTAAGATATAAAACCATTTATGGTTAGCCATAATGAAAAAATATTACAACTCTTATGTGTTTTAAATCACCTTTGCCATAATTATGCAATGCATTTAAATGTGATCAATTATTTTTATATCTATTAATTTTATCCTCCTAATGAATTGTTTAATGATACAGAAGATTTGGTTGATGAAGATATAAAAGAAATAGAAGAAATAGAAGAAGGTTCCATAGAAGATCACTGCTCTGATTACAATTAGAGTTTATTGAAGAAAATAAATATGTTATGAAATTGAATATTAATTTTGGTCAAGTTAAAGAGGTGTTAAATGAATGTTTATTCTATTTTATAACACAAAATCTCAAAAAATAAGAAAAAAACTCAAATTAAAATTAGACATAAAGACTTGATGAAATTCCTTGGGTGTAATGATTTGACATTTTTTAATTTTATTAGAAAGTATTAACAAACCATAGTTTTTTTTTTATTTTTGATTTTTTTATTGTAGAGCAAGATAACGATTGATAGACAACTTAAAAGATTGCAAATTATATAAATCAGGAAAGCAAGATGAAGGAAACGAATTCCAAAGAACTGATGTTTGAGGAAAAAAACTAGAGGAATAAGAGTTTTTGGAGCACTTAGGAACAATCACAGAAAAAGGATGAGACTTAATTGAATGACGAGTAACACGAGAGTGAATTTTAGTAGATGGCACAAGAGACGCTAGCTCTTTAGAGCAGTGCCCATTATAGTATTTGAAGAAAAGAGAAAGAGAAGCAACATTATGGCGATGTGATAATGGTTGAAGGTTGGCTGCAAGAGCAGTTCCAACTATGTTTACAATGTGTTTTTGCACCTTGTCTAAAAGAGAAAAGGCATCATTAGAAGATCCGCCCCAGTTATGGCAACAGTATTCCATACAAGATCGGGTTTGAGATTTACAGAGATAGAGAATAGAATCCAGAGTAAGAAAGTGTCGAGCTCGATAAAGAGATGCAACTTTAGCAGATGCTAATTTTACAACGGATTTAATATATGGTTTCCAAGAAAGATCTGAAGTAAGAGTTAATCCTAGAAGATTAAGGGTAGATGACTCATCAAGTACCTTTCATAAATATAGGAGTATCTAAATTATTGCGATAATGATTGGCTGAAAAAAATTGAGTTTTATTTGAATTAAAGTTCACCAGCCACTGTAAGCCCCATGCTGTAGCAGAAGTGAGATCATTTTCAAGCTCCGAGCCCCCTCCGAGTAATCAGAGAAAGTTGGCTTCATGACTTTGTCACTTCACAGATGTTCATAGTTACAAACTGAATTTTGTTGTAGTCTCTCTATGCCTTTAAATTTAAAGGCATAGGAAGGCTATATTATAGGCCCCCTATGCCTTTAAATCAAGTTTTTTTTGTAAAAAGCGAAGAAATAAATAATCCTTTGCTATAAACATATCCAAAAAAACCGTTTTTAAGATAAGAACTTGGCTTGACGAACGAGGGAATATTTTTTTCAAAAAAAAAATACGTTTTTCGATAAAATAAAACTTCAAATAGTCTTTTGATCTCAATTTAAGATTTTTTTTACGCTGTATAGTAGTGCTTTAAAGTAATTTTTTTAGCAACGTTTTTGTTTTTGTGTAGATTTTATATCAATTTTTATCAAATTTTAAGATTAAAATAAAAAAAAAGTATCAGTTAAAAAATCTTTAGAGAAAGCTAGTTAGACAAGGTACCTTGGTGGACTTGACTTTACGGTAATGATGCTTATTTTATGCAAATTTCAAAGTAACGGTTAGTTCACTTGATGATAACTTCATGTAAAGAAGTTAGACTTCAAACACATCTACTACCGTCCGTCCACTACCGTCCGCCCACTACCAACATTTTGAATTTTAGTCCTATTTTTAGAATTTTAAAAGAAAATTTAAATTAGAGTTTTACTATGTTTATCATGACAAGAATAAATGGTAGTATAGGGCCAAGGATTGAACTTTGAGGAACTCCTGAGGTTACAGAATAAGAAAAAGAGTGCTGTCCATCAAGGACAACTTTTACTATGTTTGGAAAGGAAGGATTCAATAATCTTAAGGATGTTTCCAGATACACCGTAAGTTGATAGCTTATGGAGAAGACCAGCATGCCAAACTTTATAAAACGCTTTAGAAATGTCAAGAGCCATGGCCTTAACCTCTCCACCTTTATCTAATGTACAATAAATCCTATCGGTTATTACTGTTAGTAAATCAGCCGTAGAACGAGAAGGAATCCATATTGATGATCAGAAAATAAGTTATTAGATTCAAGATGAGAGTGTTTTTTAATTAAAGATTCAAAAACCTTTCTTATGATAGGAAGAAGACTAATGGGACGGTAGTTCGACGGTAGTTGAATTGAACTTCAATTTCATTTTAGAAAATGACATTTTTACACTACAAAACCTTTTTAAAGTTCTTGAACCAGTTGAAACTGTAGAAAACCAGTTGAAACTGGAAAAACAGTTAAAATTGTGGAAAACCAGTTAAAACTGTCAAAAACCAGTCGAAACTATTGTTACTAAATTGCATAAAAATGATGTAAATTTTATAACAGCTTTAGAAGTTTACCCATTTTTGTTTGAAAATCAATGTAAACTAATATAGACAAAGAAAACAGAAGAGATCATTAAGTTGATGAGTATATTAAATTGAGGAAAGAATTTCATTGATTGGTTTTTTTCAAAAAACGGTCAACAATGCTGGCTGTTTTATATCATGTTTTAATAAAAATTCACCCTACCTCAACACCCTACCTTAACAGCTTCTGAAACAGTATTCTCAACAGGATGTCCAATTTTGGAATAGTTGAAAAGCTTCCATAGTTAGAGCCTCTACTAATTCTCTTCTTTTATTGTTTTTTTTTTAGGCATGTATAACACAGTTTCTTTGTTTTTTTAATGTTTTCTGTCTTCTGTTAGTTATCATTTTTATTTATCTTTTTCTACCATTTTAATTTTATTACTACCATTTACATATTTTAATACTACTTAATCATTTTCTTAGTAAAACACAATTTAACTTAAGGTTATTGTCACGGAAGGACAAGCAGAATAAATTAAACTTGGAAGATCTAGAATGCCTCTAACTTTTTTGAAGGACTTCACTATTTTTTTTAGAAATACCCAAGTATGATGTGTTTCAAAATAAGATTTACATTTTCTTAGCATTGATGACAATGTTAGAAAATACATTACATTTTATACAAAAAGTATGAATTCTTCCATGACAAATTTTGAGTAAAAAGTTTTTTCTTATCGGCCGTATAAGTGATGACTTTCTTAAATTCTACAGAGTATTAGATTTTAAGGAACTCTACTAAGATTTAATTGCAGCTTAAAAACTTAGTAAAACACAATTAAACTTATTATTTTGTTTATTATTTTATTATTTTGATCTTAATAGTAAGGATGACAAAAACAAAAAAACAAAAAAAACAAACAAAAATAATAAACAAAATAATAAGTTTAATTGTGTTTTACTAAGTTTTTAAGCTGCAATTAAATCTTAGTAAAGTATAAAAAGTATAGTACACAAAGTAATGTGAGAGAATGTATTTTAGAAATATTTTTTTAAATTATATTTTTATTATTACTTTACTTTTTTAGGCAAGTGTTAAATGGTTTAAGTCAAAACAAGAAAGTTCAATTTCTCGGTAATAATTTTTTATTTAAAAGTTTTTCTTTTATGGTATTTTATAACATCTAAGCACCTCTTGGAATTATAGTCATTAAAATTTCGTTATCAAAAAGGTTAAATTGAAACAGTTACAATTACCTTGGATGCACGTTTAGCACTTCTAATGTTAAGTAAGTTTTTCCAGACCCCTACAAAAAAAAAGTAATAATATTGAAACTGTTTTTGAATATGAGACCCTACCTGACACATAAAGCATGTGCAAGTGTTTATGCATCAATGATATTGCTGCTTCTTAATTGTAACAGTTTTATGTTCAAGTGCTATGTTCAAATCAATTGAAAAATTAACCAACGCTGTTATCTAAGTCCATGGTCAAGGTTCAAGACATAGTTTACCATCAATTGAAAAGTTCTTAACTATTAACTTTTGTTTAACAGTATAAAAATGTCAAGATAAAACAACAAATCATTTGTAAACAAAATATTTACAATTTTAAAATAATCCTAAATCCAATGTATGATTGAAGGTAGATAATTAATGTTATACTCCCTAAAGAAGTTTTAAAAAAAATATTAAAATGATTTGCGGTATCGAAAAATATAAATGTTTGTAGCAAAAAAACCCAGATCGAAGGTTCTTTTTTTTTAAAAAAAAATCAACTTAAACTCAACATTGTTAGTCCAAATTTGAATAAGATTTTATATTAATACTTTTTTTTAGGTGAAATGAACATTATGGTTTAACAATATGATCTGTTCTGATCATTTATAGGCAATTTTCTATAATTATAAGCTCTTTCTTGGTCGGACTTCTAGTATTTTTTGTAAAAATTATCTTGTAATAATTTTTTTGTAATAAATTACATTTTAAAAGAATATTCAAAAGCTTTAAGTTGGGATTTATTAGAAAACAAAGAATATTGCTTAAAATACTGTAAATTGTATAGTAGAAAACATGAAGATGGAAGAGAGTTCCAAAGAAAACACGAAGATGTGTTCCATTCATCAATGGTATTAACAATATTGTAGTAATTTTTTTACAGTAAACAACTGAGATTTGTTGGAATTAAAATTCACAAGTTGCTGTTACAGAACAGAGGTCATATTCAAGATTGACTGCCTCATCTAAGTAGTTGAAAAAAGATTAATTTTCTGTCATCACTTTTTGATTGCTTCAAGACTGGAGTTTATAATTGTATTGCCAGCAAATAGAGCCATGTAAATGTAAGAAATAATACATAATTTTTTAAGTATTTTAGTTTTTAATAATTATTTTGTTTTTTTTTGTTTTTTGATAATTAGAGAAGTTGACTCGATCTTAGATGGTGATGACATCCCAAACAATGAGCTATACAGTTATCTCATTGCTGGTACTTAATCTAAAATTGTAACAAAGGTTTCAATAATGCACACCAAAAGTAATAAAAGAAAGACCATTCATGTGCAACATGGTACTGTTAAAACCCTGATATTCTACCACTGTTGATGGAATCAACTTCTCTGAGAGTTAGTTCAGAGTTTAGTCACTTTCAAGGAGGCACAATTAAAAACCAATAAGAACTGTCAAAAAGATTCCACATATTAGACAGAAAAAAATGTAACACAGATTTTCATCTAAAACAGTGTAATAGTTGAAAAAAGGAGTGTGAGGCTGGTCAACTGTATTTTTTTGTTCATCTTTAAAATAATTGCCATTTTGGCCTTCTACAAGTAGTAGGGAAATGCAGTTAAAATCTACTTAAAATAAGTATTTTTATTGAGATATCTCTATCATTTACTCAGCTTAGAGCCCTAATGCAAATGTATTTCAAGTAAGAGTTCACTTCTCCCAGCATTTGCCTGGAAAAGCAAAACTAACGAGGCAGCAGGTTGTACAAAATTACATGTTACCAGTAGCAGGGGGGTCTTGATTGAAAATGTTGTTATAATATTATGACTAATATTTGTTTATTATTTACCTTATGATTTTTAATGTTTATTAAAAAGTTTTAAATTAGAAATCTTTTCTTTAAATAGAAATGAGATATTCCGAATACTGTTGTTCAATGTAACAAGTGATAGAGACCCAACTCCTTTACTGTTGACATTATTTGTAAGTTATTGTAAAGTTTTATATTTTAAAGTTGTATATAACTAACTATAAAGATTGCTGTTCCTGTTTATATTGCATAATATCCTTTGTCATTAATATTACCATCTTTTTACCATCATTACCATCATTATTAGCATATGCTGTGTTCTTTTTCTTCTTTACAGTTTTTATCATTGTCATCATCATTATTATTGTATACATATATGATAATAATAATTATATATGTTAAAAGCTGTATAAAGCATAATATATAGTTGTAAAAAAAAACAGTAAATGCCATAAAGTATATATATATATATATATATATATATATATATATATATATATATATATATATATATATATATATATATATATATATATACAAATAGTATTGCATACTATTGTAAGCAATCTGACGTCATACTAAAATAGCCTGCTGCTGGGGGCTTCAGTACATACATCGGCTGACAAACAGCCTGACTCGCAATGGAGTGCTGCTACATCGACTGAGGGTTTGGGATGGGGAAGCAATCGTTTCCTTCATCATTCGTCGTTTTTTCTTCTTTTTCGAAAAAAATGGTATAGCTTAAGGTAAGCAGAAAAAGTGAGGAAATGCTTATCAAAACACGCTTTAGTAAGTGTATATATATATATATATATATATATATATATATATATATATATATATATATATATATATATATATATATATATATATATATATATATATATATATATATATATATAAATATTTATATATATATATATATATACACTTACTAAAGCGTGTATATATACACTTTCTCTTTTAGACAAGGTGCAAAAATGCATTGTATATACATACATATATATATATATATATATATATATATATATATATATATATATATATATATATATATATACTGTAATTCAAATAAAACTCAATTTTTTTCAGCCAATCGTTATTGCAATAATTTAGACCTTCCTATATTTATGAACAGTAATGTACTCGATGAGTCATCTACCCTTCGCCTTCTAGAACTAACTCTTACTTCTGATCTTTTTTGGAAACCATATATCAAATCTGTTGCAAAATTAGCATCTGCTAAAGTTGCATCTCTTTATTAAGCTCGACACTTTCTTACTCCTGATTCTATTCTCTATCTCTATAAATC